TTGGAAGGAGGGAATTACGTGGGAAAGGAATTGCAATTTCATGGGAGATGAATTACTGGGAATAAAGTGGAAATTTAAAATCCAGTGTTTGGTTTACAGGAATAGAATTACTGGGAATTTTAATTCCAATGTTTGGTATACATGGGAATTGAAAGGGAATAAGTAGTATAAAGTCCAAAATGTCAATTATTGTTGTGGTATTAATTTTAGGTTTAAAAAAAAGAGGGATAATTTTGTCTCATCACTAGCTTTTTTTCTTCCTAAATCTCTGGAATTAAAATACCAGGGGGGGACATGAGATTTTAATTCCATGAAAATGGGGGAATTGCAATTCCATGGAATTGCAATTCCTTCCAACCAAACTAAGGAATTTTATGACCTTTGGAATTAAGTAGGAATTAAGTGGGAAGGGAATTTAAACTCCCTCCAACCAAACGCCCTGTTAAGTGTTTTTTTTTTTTTTTTTTTCAAACTCTCTCTTTTGTTTTAATATGTTACCCCCACTGGACAGAATTTCTAGGTCCGCCACTGTGCACACTGCTATATGAGTACCATCAATACATCCAATACAATCATATATATATATATATATATATATATATATATATATATATATATATAAAATAATCTTATAAAAATAATGATAATAATAAAATGGTCATATTTTACATTAAAATATGGCATGTATTGTGCATCATTAGTAATGTAAGACGATATACATTGAAATATAGAATTTTCCGTCTTATGATATCACGTGCAAGGCCTTTGTAACCACTACTCCTACCACTAACTGCTCCTGAAACTTCATGAAATGCTCTACTTATTGTTTCATCGAAATCGCTCTCCAACATCTCTATTTGAAGCACTCATACCAACTTTCTCCACAATTGCCATATTCTTAGTAGATTGCACTGTTGCAAAAATTGACCTAGGCACCCCTAGATCGAGGCGAATTACCCCCTAGGCGCCCGACCGCCTAGTTGCCCAACTCGACCGAGTTGGCAGCAAATTTGGCCAAATTCGACCGAGTTTGCCAAGTTAACTCGGTCTTACAATTTTTTTTAATTATATATATGTATGATAGGGATTATCCCCTACTACACTGCTACATACACTATGTCGATATCGGACCCTCACTTGAGAAGAACCACCTGATCCGATCATCACCGACCTAATATGCCTGCTTTCCCGACCTACATCTGAACCAAGCCCAACATTACGCGATCAGACTAGAAAGCTTTTTTAGTCGTTCTTTCCCAAATAGATCTGAACACGGCCGAGAGACCGACTTAATTCCCTTGGTTAAACAAGGCAGCATCATGCCCAATAAACCCAAGAATCTAAGGACACGTGGACGAGCCGCTTTGGGCCCCAATCTGGACTACTACATGAGATCCACGTGCCGCACATGCCGAGAGACCAGTGCATGCTCCCTCCTCACTCCTATAAATACCACATTAAATACAGTAGAGATGGACTTTTGACAATTTCTCTATAGCTCTACTTAGCTCGGGAACCTCTAGCATCACGCCTATAATCGAACTTAACCCCTTAAACTAACAAGCAGACTACACAAGGGCCGAAACCCGGTCCGATCCACAAGGGTAAAAAACTAGACCGATCCAATACCTCATACGTATTCGTAGTGAGCCCCGTATTTACTACATCATTTTGGCGCCGTTTGTGGGGATTGGTATGTAACAACCCGTTCACCACGCTACCCTCGATCTCCAACATGTATCCTTACATGGATTTCTTCAATGAGCATGAAGTCGAGGACAACATCTCGGACTTGCGGTCACACCTCAATTCACGTATGGATCTAAACTAGACTCCGGCGAGGGAAGCGCTTCTGCCTGACCCGGTAAATGTGATCCAACAAGGACCGGCATTCCCGATGGCACCCGGTCAAATGCCGTACCCATACCCCATGAATTCCACGGTGGTACCAAAGCCGACCTTCCGATGGTGGCATAACTCACCACGATTTTATGCTCCAACGTACCCTTACCAGATAAACAAAGTGGACTCCATTCTAAATGCATTTACACATCGAATAGGATGTCCATTCAAGACTTCTCTCATCCATTCCTCTCCTCTAAAAAGTGAAGTCATACAAGGTTCTTTATAAATATATTTATAATAATATATTTTGGTTAAAGTAATTGTGGTATACGATGTTATAATTGCACAAAGTGCTTGCATTCTCTTTTTTCTTTTCCATTCCTACTCCGTGATGTACCTAATAAATATAAAATAATGAAACCAATATATTTTAATAAAATATAAAGTAATTAAGAACATATATTTGAAAATATATAAAGTAAAACAAAATGTTTATATATAGTTCATACAAAAATTAATGTTCAAAAACACATAAATGTCAAATTGAAATTACAACCAAACATATTGAAATAAAATGAGCATTCACTTGCTTGTATCATGCATATACTTTAACCAAACTTTCTTAGAAGAGTCATCCTCTATATTAAAAAAAATTTCACTATTCAAATCATCCTTAACCAAGCTGAGAGAAAAACACCAGAAATCTCCACATCTTTCCATAATACCATCAGTAACAATGAGGTTAACAACACTTATTATTGCTGCAGCAAGACTAAAACTTATACTACTTTGAGTATTCACAATACTATCAGATATTAAAATGTCCAATGTCCTATTTGAATTTGATATCAAACTATCCAATTGACTAGAAAGTTTAGCCGTTCCTCCTTATTGTCTCCTCTTATGCTTCATTTTAGTGGGTTTGAGAGCCATATTTTGAGTTTATGCATATTTTCTAGCATTATTACCTGCCTAGGTATTGAGTGTTACTAACATCCTGGTTACCACCACAACGGTTCACCTCACTCATGAAATTATTCCAAAATAAAGACTCATCTACCTCCAAATCCTGCAATCGAGAAGAATGTTGGTTATCCTGAGATTATAATAAATTTTCAAATCCTTGCCTAGACCTATTCTCTTCTTCACTTTCTTTATTTTCTCCCTCAATATTCATAGGTGCAATAATTGGGGATCCATAGTGGGTGCAACACAACTTTCACCATTTGCATAGTTATCTTCAAATAACTTAGACCACAAATCTTCCATTGCATGATCAATGGATTTATTACGAAATTTTTTATAGTCTGGCTGGGTTCTCCTACAAAAGAAATGAAAAGAATAAGTTTACAATTAACACCAAAATATAATTATGTTTTAATCTTAAAAATCTATAATACAAATCTTGGTATTTTTCTCCCACCATTCATTGGAGCGCGCCACTAATCTTATTTGTACTAGGAACCCACCCTAAACTAGTTTCTTCATGTTTCAGTTGCTTCCAAGTTCTCCATTCTTTTTTCATAGCATCCTACTTATTCTTTAAACTTCTATGTGTAATTTTTCATTTGGCGGTAGCTTCAAACTCTTCTTTAATCTCTTTCCATTTCATTAATCTATACCCATGCTTTCAAATATATTTGATACAAATCTCACAAAAAAGCACAATGTATTCGTTGATTCACTTAAAATTCTCTCCATTCATATTATCATTTGTTAAAGCCATATTGCTAAATTAGAAATAACAATAATAATAAGCTAAAGTTGTAATTTAATGAGACTAACACATCAAAAGTACATTAATTAATTTCATAGTACAACAAGAAAAGTTAGCAATTCTATTTGTTCAAGCATAATGGATTTCAACATATAAAAAATTTCTTAACTAATTAATTAATTAAGAATTGAACAAAGTTAATTTGTATGTGTTCCAAAAGCTTTTGATTTAGGAAAATGTGACTTAAATATTGCCACCCAATTGCTAACTACACTTGTTGATTAATATATATTTTCAAGGTGAAATACTAATGCAAGGAACATAGCCAATTATATTTGAAAACAAGCAGAATACATGCAACCATTTCTGAAAGGTAGCTCTTTTTTGTACATATAAATAATATGATTGATCAATCCAAACTAACAAGAAAACCAGACACAATAAAGCAAAGTGAAAAGGGTATTCAAGAATCAAGATGGAAGTCCTTGAAACTGTTGTTCAAGAATTGATGTTCAGCATGCTCCACAGACCACATACATACGCTTCACTAACAACTAACTTTACCTGCTTCACAAACAACTAACTTTACCTGCTTCATAATTTCATTCTATTTGAAGCATCTCAAAGATATGACATAGAGATCAATTAACAACCAATTCAAGCAAAAAATAAAATTTTAAATAAAAACCCGAACAAACAACCAGCAATGACCTAAAATAGGAGCGGGCAAAACACCAAATTTGAAAACAAAATCGCCTAACATAATACACAAAAATATTTTCACTACCTTACGATTAACATACAAAGTAAAAGAAAAAAAAAATCACACAAATTTTTGTCTCACTACAAATGCACCCAAAGAACATATATACCAACAATATACTAAATATAAAGAAAATCATACCAGGAATTACACGGTTGTTAAAGAGTAGTTCAAATAAAGATGAAGGAGGATGCTTGTCCGTGGAGGAGTTGCCGATAAGGATAAATAAAAAAATAGGAGAAGAGAAAAGACCAAAAATTTTTAATTAAGAGGGATAAAGTATGTTATTTATTTAAAGTAATAAGGATAATTTTTAGAAGTTAATAGCTTATTTTTTTAAAAAAAAATTATTGATATTTAAATTCATATCAAACAATTATCAATGATAAAATTATAATTAGACAAAAACATAATCGGATCTCGCAGCTGACAAATTAAAGAACCAACAAAAAAAAAACAAAAGTGAAAGATCTCAAAATCTTGAAATCAAATTCCAAAAATTATAAGTATTCAAAAACGAGAAGAAAAAAAAGTATTTTGAAGTGTTGGTGACACAAGCACTTACGTGTCAGTCTTTTATTATTAGTATTATTTTCTTTTTTTAAGGAGAGGAAATGGAAGACTGGATTGTCGTTTCCAAGAAAGTCCTAACAAAGTGACAAATATTTTGCTGTTAAAATGAACCCATTTCCCATCAGCCACTCGTTTCTTCCAATTTCCAACCCTTATGGAACTATTGCAGACTAACATATAAGTATTCCCCTCCCACCTTCACTCTCAGAGACTCAGACTTCAAAAGTCTTCTTCTTGAAGGTGCAATTCATTCATGGACAGAATGCATGGGCATGGCTTTGGCAGTGAGAGAGCTCCTCTCCTGAACAAACAAGTAAGTTTTTTTTTTAATCACTTGAGTACGTGGGATATATAGTTTCTCTTTTCTCGTATGTGAGTTGTATAATACTCAAGAATTTGCACTGCTAATCCTATGGAAGGTATATTTTGTTGTATGGAAACAGGCATTTAGGAGGTTTTATGTAGGAAATTTGGGTGCTTGGCATGTGTTTGATAATATTCTTTGCCGAATTTTGTCTGTCTTGATATGTGGCACGTGCTCATGCCTTTGTGTGGGAGTTATAATCTCCATGGTTAGACTGATTGTCCTGTTTTAATAGGCAGGGGGAAAGAGACATGATTCACTGGAGAATGGTCAGCTCACTGACCTTGAGCATGGAGATGGAGCGCCGGTAATTTCAAATTTCATCACTTTTTCGATTTTGAATGACGAGGGAAACCTGCAGTCACTACCCGAGGGTGTGCACTGGGTAAACCCTGCCTTGTGACCTTAGTCGGCAAAGGCAAAGGACCACTTGAAGATAAACCAGCCTAGCTTGCCCATAGCTGATCGGCTCAAACCAAAGGGACTGGGATTCGAACTCGTGACCTTGTGGTTACAAGTTTATATCCTTAGCCAACTTGGCTGGGGTTACCCTACTTTTTCTGTTTTAGTGTTATGTGTAGATGACTGCTGTAGTATATAAGGAGCTAACTTTGTCTTGAACGTAACTTTCAGGCACCAAATGTGGGATTTGGCCGAGTGCTTTCACTGGTAAGTAATTGGGATTGTTACTCTAGCTAATGAAGTTTGTATTATACAGCTTAAATGTGTAAAGCTTTTTAACTTGTTCTTTAACAGGCTAAACCTGAAGCAGGGAAGTTGGTTCTTGCAACACTAGCACTCTTGATTGCATCAACGTCTAGCATTTTGGTTGTAAGTAGACAATCTCCTTCCACCCCGAAAGCACACGGATTTTAGAATTTTCATTCAATTTAAATGTTTGTTTTGCAGCCAAAATTCGGGGGAACGATTATTGATATCGTTTCAAGGGATATCCAAACAGATGAACAGAAATCCGAAGCTTTAGGAGCTGTAAAAAACACCATTCTTGAAATATTTTTGGTTGTCGTAATTGGGTATGTCCTTTAATTTGGTTGAATTAGATACATGTCTGAAATCTTGATTCACTTGCTGGTACCCCCTTTTCATGCCTGCAGAAACTCTTAAAGAAATATGTCTTTCGTTATTGTTTTGAGGATTCAATCCAACCTCAAAGCATCCAAAAGTATATCAATTACTTTAGCTAGTCAAAGCTGGACTCTCAGTAAACATAATAGTTATTTCCAGTCCATGTCATCGACTTTGATCGTTATATCATTAATGGAGTTAACAACATTTTGCTTCTTTCAGTTCTATCTGCACAGCACTTCGTGCATGGTTGTTCTCTTCTGCAAGTGAAAGGGTTGTGGCTCACTTGAGAAAGAACTTGTTCAGCCACCTTGTTCACCAAGTAATGACTTCTGTTTGTTTCTAGTTACCATGTATCTCTTATCTCTAACCTATGAAATGTTTTGAAAACATTAGTTCGTTATGTAGGAGATAGCCTTCTTTGACGTAACTCGAACTGGGGAACTCCTTAGTAGGCTCTCTGAAGACACCCAAATCATTAAGAGTGCAGCGACAACCAATCTTTCAGAGGCTCTCAGGAACTTTTCTACTGCATTTATTGGTCTAGGATTCATGTTTACAACATCATGGAAATTAACACGTAATTGCATGGAACTTTTAAGCAGGGATAGCTTCTTTTGTGTTGTTTTCAAAATCACATCTATTCATGTTGTCTCTTTTCATCTTCTATGATTCAGTGTTGGCTTTAGTAGTTGTTCCACCCATATCAATTGCTGTACGCAAATTTGGGCGCTATATGCGTGAACTCTCCCATAAGACTCAAGCAGCTGCAGCAGTAGCCTCATCAATTGCTGAGGTTAGTTGCTCCACTGATATTGATACTATTATTGCATCTAATTTGGAATATAACTTGTACCTTCACCATGTATTCTCAGCATACTGACCTTGATATTCTAGTGCGTTTTCTAGTTAGCCATAAAAAGCATACTAAGGGTGTGTTTGGTTTATGGGTTTACACACCAGGAATGAGAGTCAAAATTATAGTTATTGTTTGGTTGACTGCTTTTTAAAATATAACTATGAGATTTGATTACCCCTTTAATTAAAACCTCATTCCCTAATTAAAAACGGGTATCATTCCATCTTATCCCTCCTCATCTGTCACCTCTCAATATGTTGCTTCCTCACTACATCCCTCAGATTTTTGTTTTGATTTTTTGTTCATATTGGTGCTTTGTATGTCATTCTATCAGGATCAATTGCCTTGATTTTTTATTTTTGTATTTTTAAAACTTTTATTCCCATTATAGGGTCATACATAACCAAACATTAATATTGGTAATCATTTCAATTCCACCCTACTACCAAACATGCAAAATACTATTACCAAAATACCATTACCAAGTATTTGATTTCCATTCTGATTCCGATTCCCATGTGCGAACCAAACACACCCTAAATTTATTATCATTGTTGAATGTTATAGCCTTGTAACCATGCTAGCAATATTGAATGCTAGCATCATTTTCTTCAAAAATGAGTTATTGCCATTAGTTGGTGCTAAGGAACTTGACTAAGGTTTAGCTGTAACTAGAGGTTAATGCTTTCGTGTTCGATCATCTGCACTTGAAATATGTTAATTCTGGCAATAAACCAAGAATCCTGCTCTTTTTTTATTGTTTTAAAACATGAAATCAAATTATTTCACAAAATTGGTGCCCAATTTCATAACATATTTTGAATAAGCATATTTTTAGTCGGGTTACTAATAATTCAAAAACATTTATAATGATTATCACTATTAGTTGGTATACTTTTTCGGCTAGTGTTTGTAATAAAATCTGCTGATTGCTGTTGTTTAGGAAACTTTTGGCGCAATACGCACTGTTAGATCTTTTGCACAAGAAGATTATGAGGTATCACGGTACTCAGAGAAAGTGGAAGAGACTTTGAACCTTGGACTTACTCAGGCTGTAAGTTCCTTGAGAGAGAGAACAAGAAGTTTTTTTAAGAAAATTCTGTTGTAAAAGCCTTGTGTGCCATGCTAAGAATATAACCCATCGTTTGATGCTTTCTTCTGCAGAAATTAGTTGGTCTTTTCTTTGGAAGCCTAAATGCAGCATCAACGTTATCAGTTATTATTGTTGTACTTTATGGAGCTACTTTGACCATTAATGGCTCAATGACAGCGGGAGCTCTGACATCTTTCATTCTTTATAGCTTAACCGGTGAGCAGTCTTTGGTATTCTCTTCTGCTAAATGTATAATCAATTTAACGAGATAAATACACCAAAATGTACAGTTCAAAGTTGATTAAATGCAATTGTTTGTTATTCATATATGACGTAATTTTTTCCCTGTCTGCAGTTGGATCTTCGGTATCTGGACTATCTGGATTATACACTGTAGCAATGAAAGCTGCAGGAGCAAGTAGGCGAGTTTTTCAGCTCTTGGATCGTGTCTCATCTATGCCTAAATCAGGAAATAAATGTCCTTTGGGGTAAGCTCTAGTCCTTCGAAATTCAGTACTTTGCTGTTCTTTCCATATTTTACACAACTACTAGCTGAAAGTAGGTTGCCTTGTCCAAAATAGAACTGTTTTTGTATGTAAATTTACTTAGAAAGCGTGTGTTTATACTTTATAGCCAAATCTTGCCACACGTGATGTTTAGTTGATTGTTGTATGTCACAGAGATCAAGATGCAGAGGTAGAATTAGATGATGTCTGGTTTGCGTATCCATCCCGTCCCAACCATATGGTCCTCAAGGTGATCAGCGTTTCTCTTCAGACATCATATCTTTGTTGTGATATAATGTTATGCTCACTGTATTCCAAACATACTATGGTTTTAGGGTATAACGTTGAAATTACAACCTGGGTCAAAGGTTGCATTGGTTGGTCCAAGTGGTGGTGGCAAGGTAATTTCTTACACGATTAAATGTCTGTATGATAGTGTCATGCCTGTGTAGAAGATACAATGAATCTGCACGCACATCTAGTCTAACATCATAAAATCGCAACAATGTATAAGGAGGTGGATATGACGCTTTTCTTTGTTGCAGACTACAATAGCAAACTTGATTGAACGGTTTTATGACCCTGCCCAAGGAAAGATCATGCTGAACGGGGTTCCTTTGGTAGAAATCTCTCATCGACATTTACATCAAAAGGTAATTATGGTACTACGATATCTCCTTGAAGAATACTGTGTGCTCTGAGTTTTTCGCACTTTTGGTCTCACGACTATAGTCACATTATCAGAATTGATCCACGACTTTCAAACCTTGCAATCTCGGTCCACGACTATTTTTTTTTTTTTGCAAAAATGGTCCTTCTGGCCCATTTTTCGTCAATTTTCCGACCCCCTTTGGACGGAAATGGTTCTTATTCTGGTGAGAAATTGACGGAAAACTGGCCGGAAGGACCATTTTTGCAAAAAAGACAATAGTCGTGGACCGAGATTGCAAGGTTTGAAAGTCGTGGATCAATCCTGATAATCCCACTATAGTCGTGGGACCAAAAGTACGAAAAACTCGTGTGCTCTAGAGGAAACTTTCTACTGAATAGTTTAAGATTTTGTATAAATTTAATAGTTTTCCAAAAATGCTACTTCAAAACTGCAGGTCAGCATTGTGAGCCAGGAACCAGTTCTTTTCAATTGTTCAATTGAAGAGAACATTGCCTATGGCTTGGATGGGAAAGCAAGCACGAGCGATATAGAAAATGCAGCTGTGAGTTTCATCCCTGTTCACTCGTAGTCCCCCCCTTTAAGATATACCTTTTGACATTTTCTACGTTATTTGCAAGCAGAAAATGGCAAATGCACACGAGTTCGTATCAAATTTTCCCGACAAATACCAAACGCATGTGGGAGAGCGTGGATTACGGCTTTCAGGTGGTCAGAAACAGAGAATAGCAATTGCGAGAGCTCTACTGATGAATCCAAGGGTTCTACTTCTGGATGAGGCCACAAGCGCCCTTGATGCCGAAAGCGAATATCTTGTTCAGGTATATTATATTCTCCACAAAGTACTGCTATATACGTTCTCGGAGATCCCGATTGTAATAATCTTGGAGTGGTTGCAGGATGCCATGGATTCTCTAATGAAAGGGAGGACAGTACTTGTGATAGCTCATAGGCTTTCAACTGTGAAAAGTGCAAATACAGTAGCAGTGGTCTCTGATGGGCAGATAGTTGAGAGTGGGAGTCATGATGAGCTTCTCAGCAAGGATGGCATTTATACAGCACTAGTGAGGAGGCAGTTGCAGGCTCCCAAAGACGGATAAAAATGGCACTACCTTCTAGCTGTTGTTTTTTTGAAGAAACAACTCTTGAACTCCTTTTTTTTTTTTAGTGCAAAGGAAACAAAGTTTTCTTAAATGTAGTTGTACACTTGTACCTTTTACTTTATCATAAAATAGTGGGACAACCCAGTCAAGTTGGTCAAATTATTAACTTGGTAATCACAAAGTTATAAGTTTGATGGCCAACAACGATTTATTGCCCTTCTTGATTTGAGTCGATTAGTTACGGACAACCTTAGGTTGATTTACATCTTTGTGATCTTTTACAGACTATGAGTAGAGATGCCAATTCAATCCGACCCTGATGGGGAAATCCGGTCCCTGTTCAGATGGAAGTGGGGATGGGGAATTTTTTCAGGGAATGGGGGTGGGGATGGGGAGAGTTTTCCATTCCCGTTGGGGATAGAAACAGAAATTATAGACTGCCACCTATAAATTTAGGATAAAAATAGAATTAACTATTTCATTTACAGAAAAATATAAAAAAATAATAATAATAAACATATTAGAGCATTGGTTGATCACTTAAAGAAAAGTTGATATATTAAACTAATATGAATATACATATTATACGAGTAATTCACAATCAATCTCTACCATTTGGATATCCATTGTGCTTAAATGTTTTTTTAAGAATCTCTCTCTCTATATATATATAACATATTACCAATAAAACATACAGGTCTCACAAAATGAAATGTTACTTTTAATAGATTTGTCAGTAATGAATTAAAATTATCACTTTATATATAATCTATATATATAATAAAGTCACAACTTTTAGTAATTAAAAAAAATTTCAGTTTCCCGCCCATGGTAAACAACGTTGGTTAAGGTATTGTAATTACTTTCGGCCACAGAATTTTTAAGGTAATATGCCGGTTGCATTATTTTAGGGTTTATATTTTGTGGCTTATATTTGAGAAAGGTTTTATATTAAGTACCAAAATCTTTTTCGCATGCGTGAATTCAAATTCTCGACGCTTCGTTTCTCAAGATACGGCATTCAATTAATTACAATAATGATTATCTTCAATTATAAATACATCGTACAGAATCAGAATCAATTCTACTTCATATCAAATACTATACTTCTAGAGCTGCATTCTGTTAAAACCATGGCTCCAATGTACATCCTTGCAAGAGATATCACTCCTATGAAGACTGAAGCGACGATAAAGTTGCGATTGGTTCGCACCTATGATATTTATCAAAGTAGAGATAGTGATGTTATAAAATGCAGAGAATGTGTGTTTCACGATGAACAGGTAAATTTCGTTACTTTCATTTTATTTTATCATTCGTTTTCTTGCATTAAACATTCTGTGTATGGTATATGTCTCGGAACGAAGAATGGTTGGATTATTAATTTTTAGCTTTCCGTTTTATTGATTCATGTGTTTTCTTGCATTATTCATTTGTTGAATAACAGTCTAATATACCCGCACTGTGTTAATGTTATACAGGGAGAATATGTTCACTTCCATATCCCAAAGGATTATCTTGGTAGTCCTAATATTATTGTCGAATGAAAAGTCTACTATATCAAAAATTTTGTACCCGTAACTTATTTCTACACTTATAAAACAAGCAGTCATCCTTACATGCTTAAATTCTATAATAAGACTCTGGTGAAAGAGTACAAGGGTACAGACTTCCCTAGATTCATGTATAGGTTAAAATCTTTTGCATCTTTGAAGTCCCTTGAAGGAATTGATCCAAAGCACCTATTTGGTATGTTGTTTTATTCATCCTAATATCTATTTTATTTTTTATATTCTTTTCCTCAAGATTGACTAAAACCTGTCTTATATTTATTTTTAGATGTCATTGGTCGTGTCGTGGAATTTACTCACTGTTGGATGTAAAGATAGCAGGGAGGCCTTCGCGTCTAATTGACTTTCTAATTGAGGACTCAAAGTGAGCGTATTATTATTCTTCCTATTCATACTAACATGGTATTGTCTAACTAATAATTTACAAAATATGGAACAGGGTATGCAACAACATAAACTAGATCAATTTGCTAAATGGCTTGCTTCAATCGGTGATGGTACGATTGGCGAAGATAATGATGGTTACGCTAATGTTGATATTCCATCTGAATTGTTGTTGAAATCAGCTGGTGATCTTATTGCCACTATTGTTCAAAGTACGTTCCCGAACTTTAGTAGAGGTCATAATGATGGGAGGTGTTTTCAAAGTAGTGCGATTTTAGCACCAACACTAGAAGTGGTCAATGAAGTTAATCAATACATGTCAGACATAACTTTTGGAGAAGGAAAAACATACTATAGTTGTGACACAGCATGTAAAGCAGATTCTTCCAGCTCAATACTTGCAGATGTCCACACCCCGGAATTCTTAAATAGCATACGAGCATCTGGCCTTCCAAACCACTCTTTAACCTTAAAGGTTGGGTCTCCTGTGATGTTAATGAGAAATATTGACCACACTCTTGGCCTTTGCAATGGAACTCGGTTGGTTGTAACCAGATTAGCAAACCATGTTGTTGAAGCAAGCATCTTAGCAGGACCAAATGCTGCCACAAGGGTATTAATTGCTAGAATGACCATCACACCATCAGATCCCAGACTGCCGTTCAAGTTCAACAGGAGACAATTCCCGCTAATGTTGTCATATGCAATGACCATAAACAAGAGTCAAGGGCAAACATTGTCTAATGTAGGATTGCTGTTAAAGAAACCAGTATTTGTTCATGGCCAATTATATGTTGCTGCATCAAGAATAAGCAACCCAGACGGCCTCAAAATTTTAATTTGTGGTGAAGTACAAAATAGTGGTACTTCTACCACTAATGTAGTTTACAAGGAGGTTTTTAATAATTTATAATTTAATCTTTCTTTCAATAATTTAATATGTTATTTTCCCTGTTTCTTTTGGGTACAACAACACTTTACTTTTTTTTTTTTTTATTTCATTTTGAAACAATACTTCATTTAAAAAAAATGTATTAACCCCGTGCATCGCACGGGACAATATCTAGTTATAATTAAAGGAACAAATTTGTATAGTGTAAGAATTCATAGACTGAATTTATAATATAGATATAATTAATGGACTAAAATCAACATTCTCTCTTTTTATATAATGCAAATTGGAGGATTTGGAGGAGTGAAAACAATATGTATGTTTTCAAAAAATATATGTATAAATTACAAAGAAAACCCTATAGCATTCGTATTTGCAAAGCAGTCCACCCACCACCGCAATCTTCCACTCAGAAGCGTTTCTTTATCCTTTCCTCTTCATTCTTCAATTATAAGCGCCCCCATCCCCTATCGCTTTCCACTCTCCACAGATCTTAAACAAAGGTCCGTTCTCTTATTATCTCTCTAGAATCGAACTGTTACTCTCATCTACGAATTTGCGTTTTGATTTTCCGGTTTGATTCGTTTGTACTTTCGTTGTCCTGTATGTAGATCTCTATTTTATTAAGCATCTTCCATTTCATTCGGATTTGTTATTTATATATCAGTTTTTGCTATTTGGATATGTATTTTTGATGCTGCGTTAAAATGGCAGCCACAGAGGTCAATTTGGTTGTGTCTGTGTGTGCATTTTTTGTATTTTTTTTTTTAAAAATTTGAATTTTGAAGATTGTGTTTGGTTACCTTTGAATTTTGATTCCGGTGGCGTAATGTGGACTTCTGTCATTCTCATATATGCGTATGAGTTAATGGATTAAATCAGGATAGGGTGAGATGGATTTTCTGCCTCTACTTTTGTGTATAAAAATTCTCATCAAATAGATCTCAGTAGGTTGCTGGAAAAGTGGAAGGTCTGGAACTCTGAATCTTGTGGAGTACTTAATACTGAAATATTGTTTTAAGGCTCAAAATGTGTTGCAAAAGCATTTTCCAATGAAAGGGATCTCACATTCTCATGGTTCTCATTTTCTCTCAAATTTTCTTTTGATAATTAAGCTTACTATAATAAGAAATTTGATATGGACCTTTCATCTATAATGTAAATTAAATAGTTTGGTTGGTGAAGTTATTTTAGCAATTAGTATTACTTTTCAAATAAATGGCTTTTACAGGGTCTTTTGTAGCCAAACAACCCAAGAAACACTAGCAAGGGCTAAAGGGGATTTTTTTTTTTTTTTTTTTTTTTTTTGGGGTGTGGTATCAATTGAGCTAGTTTTGTTTTATTTAAATTTATTTATTGGTTGTTATTTTATATCATTTGTTTTCTTCTTTTATTGGAGGGAGATGGAAGGTATAGATTAGAAGTATGTATTTCCTTCCTCTACAACTGCTATTTTATTACACATCTTTAGGATATTGACTGGTGAATTTTAGTGCAGAAGTTTGCACTCAAGCCAGGGGGTCATGGGTCGTGGAGTCAGTTTTGGTGGGGGGCAGAGTTCTCTGGGCTATCTTTTTGGTAGTGGTGAGCCTCCAAAGCCTACCACTAACAATGCTGAGGCTCCTGTGAATCAGGGGACGGCTGTTAGTGCTGGAACTCCACAGAAATCGGTTGCACCTGCACCAGCACCAGCACCACCTGCAGATGCTACCAAACAGATACCAGCTGGGGTGCCCGGGAGCAAAACAAATAACTACTTCCGTGCTGATGGTCAGAACTGTGGGAACTTCCTTACGGTATGATGTATATCGTGTTATGTTTAAGCAGTATGCTGATTTTTATTTGCTTCATAGCCTTGGCTACCACAACATCTTGTACTTCTTCGTCTCTCCCATCAGATAAAAGTATACATGCATGTTGAACTAAAAGCATTGCTAAGCATGTTCTAGGTTGCAAGCCACCATTCATTTCTTCCCTCCTCCTAGCTTTAGGAAAACAAACATACTTATTTTGAGGAAAATATATGTGCTATGGGGAAGGGAGGGACTACAAGAAAGCCTTTCTTTAGATATACAAGGGGCTTGTGCTCGAAAGCTGGTCTTACTCAACAAGCACCTTTATTAGTAAGGTTGCTTGTTTCCATTCATTTAAGATTCTATCCTTAAGCTGTGGGTTTTATCTGCAAATAAAAGTTTTGTTTTGGTTTTTACCTAATCTTTGGACCAAATTTCAAATGGTGCTCTTATTTTATTTCCTTCGGTTTTACTGTTAGAAGTGATAAACCACTTAGAACTGCTCCTGGACCATTTATTGTTCTTTATTTCAAACCTTAAATAGTTTATTATTTATAAAAAAAAAAAAGAAAAAAGAAAAAAGATTACTCTGTTTGGATGCTTTCATGGTTTTCTAAAGTGATCAGAAAGTGAGAAGTTGGGTCTTAGGTATAGTGGTTAGTATATTGTGATAGAAGTCTGTCTTGTGAAGTGTTTTATTCGGTAGTACGGAGTTTTAATGTTATGTTGGTAGAAGACCCATCTTGCAACAAAATATCGGTGAAATATGATGCCCGCCATCTTTGCTTTGCAGGATCGTCCTACAACCAAGGTCCATGCTGCACCAGGTGGAGGGTCCTCCCTGGATTACCTGTTTGGAGGTGGCAGCAGCAAGTAGTGCCCAGTTCATTTCTAAGATGCCAATCTCTAAATCCTCCTCCTCAAGTCTGGAGCAACCTACCTATTTGTACTTTTACACCATCCAAAATTTGAATTGTCAATAACTTGATTCTTGGTTTGGCAGTGTGAATTTCCTGTTGTAAATCGACAAATTGTTGATGATCTCTCTTTCCATATATAATATTTGCATTTCTCTTAAAATTTTCCTTTAGGATAGTATTCAATGATTCTTGGTTTTTGTTTTTGTTTTTTTAAAGATATGATAGAAGTGCTAGTTGGCAGTTATTGAAACTTGTAGGATATTTCAGGCATTTGCTTTTCTACGTTATCCTTTATTTGAATCAGACTTGCATGGGTAGGATGACGTGAGATAGTATAAATTTCTTTTAAGTGTGTGGTGAGATGAAGAAGTTAGGGGATGTGTTATACTTACAGCAACCTCGAGTAAAATTTTTAATTCTCAAAAGATAGGGGTGTTTGGTAAATATCTATTAGTTGATTGAGTTAGTGTGTTTGATTAGTTGATAGCATTAATAGATTGTAGAAAGATGTTTGGTAAATTAGCTCTTAGTTGATAGCTAATTACATGCAAAATGACTTTTTTTAAAAGCTTATTGAAAAAGTTATATGAGCAGTTTTTTAAAATTTAGTGTTTTAGAGCAATACAGACCTACAAAAAGTTAATTATGTATTGGAGCAATATGCACTTACAAAAAGTTAATTAATCAAATATTTATATTAGCTGTTGATGAATGATTGTCTGATTACTTTTATTGAAAGAGATGTGTTTGGAAGCGTTGATAAAGAAAAAATTATATAAGGTTTTCAAAACATGAGAACATGTTATTGACAATTGTAAAATGAAGGCATTTATTTATAAATGTAATTTATATTTATATTTCTATATCATTGAGAGTAATATTAATATTAAATTTAGTATGGATAAGTGCCAAATAAGCACTCCAATTATATACCAAAATTCAATTAGACCTAGAAACTTAAAAAAAAAAAAAAAAAAAAAAAACAACTCCAATTAAACCTTTTAAATTTGTTAAAATTGTGCAATTAACAACAACAACCTAACGGGTGACTTGGGTATAACATGTTATTATAGGTCAACTGAGTTAATTGCACAATTTTAACAAGTTTAAAAGTCTAAATGAAGGTTTTATTTATTTATTTATTTATTTATTATTTTTTAAAGTTTGACGGTCTAATTGCACTTTCATATAGGAAAAATATTTGATGCCCTGCCGGTGCATAAGTGCTATACACCGTGAATGAAAATACGCCACCTCACATTTAAATAAAATCAATATTGACTAGGTCATCACAAAAACTAATAATTTTAAAATTACTATAACTAGTATTTTCACCCGTGCGATGCACGGAATGAATTTGTTGTAACTTGTAATATATTAAGAATATTTGAATCGATGTATAATTATTTAAATTAGAACATCAAATATTATATAGTGCACTTAAAGATATGGTTTGGATCGTTTATGTATTTTGATGTTATCATTGCTTGAATTTGTGTAAATAATTGATCAAATTAATAGCTAATGTCTAGATGTACGCATGCGGTGCTATAACTTTGAAGATTTTATTTATCATTGTTTAGTATTTTCATAAATTAGGCAAATGCTCGTTCTCTAACAACTAAGTTATAAGAATGAATTTCTATCATAATTCATTTGTATGGGATATATTTTTTTTGTCTAGATATATAGCAATTTTTCCATTAAAAAAAACATAATATCACCGATTATGTTTACACATTATTGAAACCTCTTTGTAGACGACATTGGTAGTTGCAACACAATATTATCCATCATCGTCTAGAGCTAACATTTTCAGTCCATCAGGACGGGTTACTCGAGTGAAAATATATAATATTATAATATCACTCAATTAGTGATCCTTTTATATTTTTAGTTAATTAGTAGAGAAAATTACACTTTTGGTCCTATGACTATAGCGGAGGTGGTAATTTCAGTTTGTGACTTTTAAAACTAACAGATTTAGTCCTTTTAGTAAGCTTTTTTTGACACATTGAGTCTTTCCGGCTAATTTGCCGGTAGAAATCCGCCGGAATTGCGATTGGAGTTGTTTATTAATTGTTTGGGAGGGGTAAAATCGTCTGTTCAGGCCATAGAAAAGGGGGGGGGGGGCGGGGGGGGAAACGGATTCCCATTTCCCACCTTAATTAACCTTCACGCAGAAGGGTTTTCAGTTCCATTCTCCATTCTCCATTCTCACGCGAAGCGAAGGAAGCAAGAGACGAAGTGGAAGAGAAGAAATCAGTCGCACCACTCGCACGCTCCATTCTCCATCAGGTCGTCCTGG